TTTTCTCTTTCTTTTTAGATTAGTCTTGGAAGGTTGTATGTTTCTAGAAATTTATCTATTTCTTCTAGATTGCACAATTTGTTGGCATATAATTGTTCAGAGCAGTCTCTTATGATCCTTTGTTTTTCTGTGGTGTCAGTTGTAGCTTTTTTGTTTTTTATTTTATTTTAGGCACTCCCTGTTTTACATAGAGTCTGGCTTAAGGTTTGTCAATTTTGTTTGTTGCTTCAAAGAACCAGTTCTTACTTTCATTGATATTTTCTGTTGTTTATTTAGTCTCTATTTTGTTTATTTCTGCTCTGATTTTTAAATTCCATTCCTTCTATTTTCTTTGGGTTTTGTTTGTTATTATTTTTCTAGTTGCTTTAGTGTAAAGTTAGATTGCTTATTTAGGATTTTCCTTGTTTCTTGAGGTAGGCCTGTATTGCTCTGTACTTCCCTCTTAGAACTACGTTGACTGCATCCCATAGATTTTGGAAACTTCTACAGGAAGTTTTCATTTGACTAAATGTAATTTCTGATTTTCTCTTTGTTCCATTTGTTATTTAGTGGTATGTTGTTTGTGTTTTTTTCCAGTTTACTTCCTGTAGTTGATTTCTAGTTTCAGTCAGACAAGATTCTTGATATGAGTTCAGTCTTCTTGAATTTATTGAGACTTGTTTTGTGGCCTAATATGTGATCTATCCTGGCGAAAGTTTATGTTCACTTGAAAAGAATATGTTAAGCTGTTTTTGTAAATTTATTAAGTTTATGTGGTCTAATGTGATGTTTAAGGCCATTATTTCCTTGTTGATTTTTTGTCATCTTCTCCCTTTATATTTGTTAAAGAAAATGACTGTGATTGGATTTTTATTACATTTTATAACTGTTGAAGTTCTGACTTCCTCTATTCTACTTCCAAGTTTGGTGAGCATCTTTATGACCATTACTTTGAATTCTTTTCGAGAAAATAACTTATCTTGTTCATTAGGGTTTTTTTCTTCTTTCTTCATTTAGAACATATTCCTATGTCTTCTCATTTTGTTTGACTTTTATGTTTATTTTTATAAATTAGATGAAATAGCCATCTCTCCCAATCTTAAAAACATGACCTGGTATATAAACGACCTCTGTGTAGACTCTGTATGTTGGGTGATTTTGTCAGGCCCGTTGTAGTCAAGGTCAGCTGTGTGGCACCTGGGGCACTGGCTGTCTGGGCTGGAGCTGGTTCCAGGTGGGGGGGGCTTGTGTACATGCACATACATCCATGCCATGACTGTCCAGGACCAAAGTAGGCTCAGGGCAGTGTGGCACGGAATGTGCAGGTCAGCCAGAACTTTTGCTAGAGCGGTGGTTCTCAACCTTCTGGCCCTTTAAATACAGTTCCTCATGTTGTGACTCAACCATAAAATTATTTTTGTTGCTACTTCATAACTGTAATGTTGCTACTGTTATGAATCGTAATGTAAATATCTGATATGCAGGATGGTCTTAGGAGACCCCTGTGAAAGGGTCATTCGATAGCCAAAGGGGTCGCGATCCACAGGTTGAGAACTGCTGATCTAGGTGGAGGGAGAATGTGAAAAATGGATGGCACTCACTGGCACATATCCTGAAGAGCTTATTAAAGGTGTTTGAAGTCAGTGCAGAGTTGGTTACTGCAGCTGTGGCTGGATTAAGAGGTAAGGTTGGATAGAGAATCCAACCTAGCAGTGTCTCAGGAGTTGCTTTCCCCAGAATTTAACAATGGTTTCATTGAATCAGACGTTCAGCCTACCACCTGTACAAATTGCAGTCCTTATGCGAGCCAATAGACAAAGATCATGAGTGTCACTCTATCTTGGGATATTGATTACGAAGGGAAAACTAGGATGTGCTACACAACTGGATCAAAGAGGATCATGTCTGAAATCCTGTGGAATTCTTTTGCTACAGCTTAGTATTGTCATGTCTAATAATAAATATTAATGAAAACTATAACAACCCCATAAAGACAAGAGCAATGAAAATGCATATTCCCTAGAAATGAAGGTTTGCATAATATCACTGTGTGAAGAGCCCCATCCAGTTGAGATGATGGCCAAGGAGAAGATGGAATGTGTGGTGAAAGAAGGAGTTATAAATGTCAACCATGGTATTGTGATCAACTGCAACATAAGGAAAAGCTGGAGATTAGGAGTTAATCTGACACATATGTAGAGTAGTAGAGAAGATGGTGGTGGTGGGTGTATTAAGGCTTTCTTAAAGAGGTAAGGAAATAGAAGTATGTCAGTGGGATTCAAACTAGATTTCCTTTCCATCCTTGGCTTGAGGAAATTGAGTATGATCTGGGAGAGTTTATATTTTACTCAAGTCTTTTCCATCTACTTGCATGTGGTTGGGTAGTAGAGGTCTGATCTTGTTAGCTGCAGCTATATCTCTCCCCTTGGGTTGTAGTGAGAGATTCTACTACCCCGAGAATAATTCCAAAATATGTGTCTGTCATGGCACTTTGCTCAAAGAACACTGATTGCTTCTAATTATCTACCAGGTAGTACTTACTATACTCCTAAGATATTTTAAGATATTCACATTCTCATCCCTACTAGTTATTATGGCTTCTCCATCTTCCTTCACCTCCAAAGATGTAGGCTCAAGCCCCACAGGACTACTGTCTTCTAAACAGGCAGTGTTTAACCATCCATTCATGAACTTTTCTCTATTCCACCTCCCCCCCAGGTATATCAGTGCTATCAGTGACTGTAACCAGTCACTTCATTAAGACTCAGAGAATTGTCCTGAGAGGCCCTGGGTAATTGCTTTGCCTTTAATGAATTCCTCCAGGATTTAGCATCCTTTGGGGTCCAAGGCTAGTTAGACCCAAGGATGTGTAGAATGGGAGATGTGAGAAGGGATGTTGCAGACAAAGGTGACAGCTACGGAAGCTGTTACTTCACATGCCTTATTGAATGAAGGGGAGCAGGATCTCAAGCCAGGGGCCTGGAATCACCCTCAGACAGATTGGGTAAGTTGGACAAATGACACTTCTAACCAGATTTCTCAGGTTGTGTGATGTTCTGCTGGAGAATTTACAGGTATGATGACCCTCCTATTCTCTACCTCTCAGCCTCCCATGACTTCCCCAAATTCTAGGAATATTTTGATTAGTATTCATCAATGCAATTCTTTAACTAATGGCAGCATTCATAAATATTATCTATTACATAAATGTATCCCACAAGATTGTATTATTCCAATATAATGGCAGCTTTTTAAGTAGACTTTAATGCAATAGTTCTCATCCCTTGCTTTATTGTAGAACCACATGGGAGCTTTATAGAATTTTGCACAGGCCCCTCTCAGAGATTGTGATTAATTTATCTGAGAGTCTCAGTAATCCTTATTTTAAAAAGCATCATATATCCTTTGAACTCCTTGTGTAGTTCATGGACAATAGCATTGGTATTAGCTGGGCACTCAATTAAAAGTAGCCTCTTTCCTACTGAATCAAAAATCAGTGTTTTACTTGAACTCCAGGATGATTGTGTAGACATTCATTTCAGAAGCACTGCCCTAGGTTTTGTTTTTTTTTTAAATATGAAATCCAAGCTGATAACTACAGACTTAATGGGCAAAGATGACAGGCTTATTGCATTATCGGTGGTAGCATCTGCAAGTTCTATCTCCAGCATACTATTGGCACAAGAGTCAGCTCCCATGAACTTACTGGGAAACACAATTCAGACAAACCAGGTGTGTGATTTTGCCTGGATGTTTTCCCCACTGTATTGTCAGTGCAGAGTGTCTTAGTATAAAAACTGTCTATGTGGCTGGGTCAAACAGCATCAGGGGCCGAAAATCCAGCCACTGGACTCAACTATGTCTTTACTGAAGAAGCTTTCCATGTCTCTTAGTGCTTCCTCTCTGCTTTCTTTGTCTGCTTTTAAGGCACATTAAGGTGTCTTAGTCATGGTGCTCTACAGAAATAGAACCAATAGACAGTCTATCTATCTATCTATCTATCTATCTATCTATCTATCTATCTATCATCTATCTATCTCCATTATCTTTATCATCAGTATGAGTGACAAGAGTAGTGAATCTGAGGTACCCTGACATTTTCCATGGACACAAAATTATACCCACATATTCTGTAATAGAGTGTCAAATTCAGTGTGAAATGGTAGAGGCCAGTGAGTTCTTATTCTGGGAAAATTTAGTGGGAGTAGTGACTGTTACTTGAAAGAACCTTTTTTTGTTTTACTTAAAAGAACTGCTGCTGCCTTTAAAGTTAGAGGAATGCATGTCTCAGTCTGAAGCACAACCAACAAATATTTATGAAACATCAGCTTCATTGAGGCACCATGCCAGTTGCCGGTCCTGCTGCAGTCATGCCCTTTTCTGCATGGAGTTTCCAGTTCAGTAGGGATGACACTATAAACAAATAATCCCCATGGGACTGAGTGCTGTAGGGATGAGCTCAGGATGCTGTGGAAACCTAGCAGTGGATTCCCATCTGGTCTGGGGAGAGGGAATAAGTAGGGGAAGCCAGGGGAAGGAGCAGAGGGAGTAAGGTGCTAGGCAAAGGGAACATAAGTGCGAAAAGCTGAAGGCAATGAACTGTGACATATAAGTCCTGTACTGGTGGAGAGAGGACCGTGTCACTGTGGAGCCAGATGAAGCTGTGGAGATAGGCAAGTGTCAGATCATGAAGCCCATTTGGAAGGATTTTAAAAAATTATTGAGGGAGGAAGAAGGATGGAAGGAAAGGGGAGAGAGAAAATAGATAAGAGAGTTTTAGAAACGCTGGAATATTGCTATGGAATATTGCTATTTGTCAAAGAGAGCTGAAGAAAAAAAGGCATTTTTCCATCATAAAGATTCTGATTATAGAGATTTTGGGTCTGGAGGTTATATTATTGTTATGAAACTGATATAACATATTTTTGCAGACCATCACACAGACCATATTGTATAAAATATGTTTTATTTAAATTCAGATTTTAATGAACACTGTTCTCTTAAAGGCATTGAAGAAGTATATGGCAGGAAGGAATCAAACTGCCATCACAGAGTTCCTCCTCCAGGGCCTGCCCATCGAGTCAGAGCAGAAAAACCTGTTCTATGCCCTGTTCCTGGTCATGTATGTTACCACCGTCCTGGGGAACCTCCTCATCATTTTCCTGATTCGCCTGGACTCTCAGCTCCACACGCCCATGTATTTGTTTCTGGCCCCAAGCTCTGTCTCTCCCTGGTAGCGCTATCCTGGGGGCTGACCATGTTGCATGCCATGTTACACACTCTGCTCATGGCCAGGTTGTGTTTTTGTGCTGACAATGTGATTCCTCACTTTTTCTGTGACATGTCTGCTCTGCTGAAGCTGTCCTGCTCTGACACTCAAGTTAATGAGTTGGTGATATTTATCATGGGAGGGCTCATTCTTGTCATCCCATTCCTACTCATCATCCTGTCCTATGCACGGATTGTATCATCTATTCTCAAGGTCCCCTCTGCTAGAGGTATGAGCAAGGCCTTCTCCACCTGTGGCTCCCACATGGCTGTGGTGTCACTGTTCTATGGGACAATTATTGGTCTCTATTTATGCCCATCAGCTGATAATTCTACTGTGAAGGATATGGTCATGGCTATGATGTACACTGTGGTGACCCCCATGCTGAACCCGTTCATCTACAGCCTGAGGAACAGAGACATGAAGGGAGCCCTGGGAAGAGTCTTTTGTAGAAAGAAAACTCCCTTTTCTGTATGATGATAAAGCGTAGTATTTTTGAATAATTTTATCCAGTAGACAAATTCATATTAAAAACCCATGGACACAGACCATAGTGGGTGAAGGACTGGGGAGGGGAAGGAAGTAGGGAGCAGGGGCATTAATGGAGGAAAAAGAGGGACAACTTTTCAACAACAAAGATAAATTGAAAAAACGAATAGATATTTTTTGTAAGAAAATATTGTGATATTAACTTACTCTTTTTTTAGTATTGATGTTTTTAAAAGAAATGACATTCTAAACAATTGTACAGTAAGTAAAAGAGATGAAGTGGAGGTGTGCAGTTAAACATAGAAAGGGGATCTCAGTGACATGTTCACAAAGTCTTTCTCTTTATTGTCCCAGGTGATCCTCAAGAAGCATTATTTAAAAACTTTGAACTGATCTATGTGCCTCTAATTATTAAAGCAGTAATTTACCATATCATGTGTTTTTTTAACCAAAACTTTGCTCTAAAAATACTTGTCCTCCCAAGTCCATATGAAATAAAATTCGAACTTCTTACTGTCCTGATTACCTCTGCTAGACTGGACTTTTTATTGTTGGCTACAAATTCTCAACTTACCTCTTCTCCAGCAAGTGCTCACAATACTCTCTCTTAACCTTTAGTTATCTGATTTACTTTCATTTCTTTTGACCTGAAGCTTACATAAATGGATTTTCTCTTTGCTACAATAGTTTAGTTTGTCTTTACCTGAGAGCTCACTTAACACCTGGAATCCTTAACATTTTCCCTCAGGTATGAGAAAGAAAGCCAGAGTCTGGTTAACAGTCTCACTGTCACTCTTGTGTAGTATTTTGGAAATTATCAAAAAATTTTAGACTCATGATCTTAATCTACTCTTGTGACAAATTCTGCTCCTTTTTGTGGAATCTTATCACCTTTATAAAGATTGAAAAAAGGAATTTGAATATAGACACATTTACTATGTGCAAAATAAAGATAAATCTTCAAAAGATGAAAAATTTGAAAAAGACAATTTCCTGCCTTTAGGAGCATCTGATCTGTCATATCTTCCTAATAATATAACTAGCACATATACAAGGTGGAGCAAAAGTGGGTGTATAGTTGTGAGTATGCAGAGAAAAAAGGGGAAAAAAGAAAAAGAAAGAAAAATGGGATTTGATGACTTGCCGGTCCCAGAGTGGGTTAGTATTGAGCTTATTTATTATGCCAGTATATTTGAACTTAGGGTTTCTTCCTATTTTCTCGCACCTTGGAAGTAGGGGTAGCGGGCCTTCATATTTCAATTTGAGCTCCATATATGGCACTGTCTAGGTTTCCAACTTGGGTCCATTTTTTCCTTATTCTCCCCACTAAGTGATGACATCTAAACCCATAATTTTAATCCTCTCATGCATTCTTACCTCCACATCTCTACCTGCAGCCTATACTTTTCTCCAGTTCTTAATTTTTATTTTTATCTTCATAGTAGACATCTCCACTTCAAATACTCCATGAACACTTTAATCTTAGTAAACAAATATGAACTCCTTATATTTCCTCCATATTTGTTTTATATTCCATTTATAGCTTTATTGAGGTAAAACTGATAAAAATTGTACACATTAAACTATACATCTTAATGAATTTAAACATATACATACAGCCATGATATAGCACCACAATCAAGGTATTAAGCATATCCGTTACCTCCAAGAATTTTCTTGTGTACTTTTCTGGGTCTTTTTTAAAAAAATTTAAGAATGTTTGAACATGAGTTCTATCCTCTTAACATATTTTGTAGTGCACAATACCATAATATCAGCAATAGGGACGATATTGTACAACAGACCTTGAGAAGTTACTCATCTTACACAAAAGAAACTTTATTTTATTTTACCTATTGATAAGTCATTCCAATGCCCCCCTTATTTCAGTCCCTGACACCCACCATTTTATTCTGTTCTTTTAGGAGTTTGATTAATTTTGATACCTTATATAGGTGGAGTCATGCAATCTCTGTTTTCTGTAACAGGGTTATTTCACTTAACACACTGTCTTCTGAGTTCATCCATGTTGTCACAGATGTCAAGGTTTTTTTAAAGGTTGCATAATATTCCACTGTCTGCATGCATATGCCACATTTTATTTATTCATTCATGTATTGATGGACATTTGGGTTGTTTCCATATCTTGGCTAGTGTGAACGGGGAAGAACAGATATCTCTTTGAGATCATGGTTAAATTTTCTTTGGACAGCCGAAACCGGTTTGGCTCAGTGGATAGAGCGTTGGCCTGCGGACTGAAGGGTCCCAGGTTCGATTCCGGTCAAGGGCATGTGCCTTGGTTGCGGGCACATCCCCAGTGGGGAGTGTGCAGGAGGCGGCTGGTCGATGTTTCTCTCCCATCGATGTTTCTAGCTCTCTATCTCTCTCCTTTCCTCTCTGTAAAAACTCAATAAAATATATTTTAAAAAAAAATTTTCTTTGGATATGTACTCACCACAGAATTGGGGTTACTGGTTCATACGGCAATTTTGTTTTTATTTATTTTGAAGAACCTCCCTACTGTTTTCCATAGTGACTGCACCATTCTACATTCCCACCCACAGTGTATAGTGTTTTCTTTTCCCACAGGTTCTCCAACACTCATTTTTTAAAAATAATATCCACCCACCCTAACAGGTAGGAGGTTATATCTCATTGTGGTTTTGATTTGCATTTTCCTGATGATTAGTAATGTTTAGCCCCTTTTTCATATTCCTGGGGGCCTTATGTATGTCTTTGGAGAAGCACTTTTCACTTTTTTAAGTGGGATAATTAATTTTTTTTGCTATTGAGTTCTGGAGAATCTCCTATATTTTGAATATCAACTCCTTATCAGGTAGATGGTTTGAAACTATTTCCCCCCATTCTGCAGGAGTTCTTTTTACTTTATTGATTGTTTTCTTTGGTGTACAGAAACTTTTTAATTTGGTGTCACATCAAATAGTAGTTAGGAATAAACTCAACAAAGATGTGAAAGACTTGCATACTGAAAACCATCAAATGTAGCTGGAAGAATTTAAAGCAGACATAAGTAAATATAAAAATGTGACATGTTCATGGATTGGGAGAATTAATATCATGAAATGTCCATATTCCCAAAGTGATTCACTGCCATCTTTATCCTTTCTATTGTATCCTATTGTATATGTGTACCACATCTTTTGTGAGTATGCACAACACTCTCATCCCTGCTAATTTTTATGGCTTCTCCCTCTACCTTCACCTCAGAAAATGTAGGTTCAAGCCCCACAAGACCACTGTTATTCCTCAGACAGGCAGTATGTAAACATCTATTTATGAACTTTTCTCTATTCTACCTTCTCCCAAGGTATAGTCAGGTGTTATCAGTGACTGTAATCGGCCACTTCTTTAAGACTCAGAGAATTGTCCTGAGAGGTCCTGGGTAATTTCTTTGCCTTTAATGAATTCCTCCAGGATCTAGCTTCCTTTAGGATCCAAAGTTCCTTAGACCCAAGGATGTGTAGAATGGGAGATGTGAGAAGGGATGTTGCAGACACAGTGATGACTACAGAGACTGTTACTCAAATGCCTTAGTGAATAAAGAGGAGCAGGATCTCAAACCAGGGGCCTGGAATCACCCTCAAACAGACTGAGTAAGTTGGACAAATGACCCTTCTAACTGGAAGATCTTGACTTCTCAGGTTGTGTGATGTTCTGCTGGAGAGTTTACAGGTATGATGACCTTCCTCTTTTCTATTTCTCAGCCTCCCATGACTTCCCCAAATTCTAGGAATATTTTGAATAATATTCATCAATGAAATTCTTTAATTAATGGCAGCATTCATAAATATTATCTATTGCATAAATGTATTCCCACAAGATTATATTATTCCAATATAATGGTAGCTTTTAAAAAATGTATTTTATTGATTTTTTACAGAGAGGAAGGGAGAGGGATAGAGAGTTAGAAACATTGATGAGAGAGAAACATTCATCAGCTGCCTCCTGCACACCTCCTAATGGGGATGTGCCCACAACCAAGGGCTAAGTGATAATGGCAACTTTTGAGATAGACTTTAATGCAATAGTTCTGATCCCTTGCTTTATTTTAGAACCACATAGAAGCTTTATAGAATTTTGCACAGGCTCCCTCTCAGAGGTTGTGATTAATTTATATGAGGGCATCAGTAATCCATATTTTTAAAAGCATCATATATCCTTGCAACCCCTTGTGTAGTTTATGGATAATAGCACTGGTATTAGCTGGGCACTGAATTAAAAGCCGCTTTCCTACTGAATCACAATAAGTGTTTTACTTGAACTCCAGGGTAATTGCATAGACATTCATTTCAGAAGCACTGCCCTAGGTTTTTTTTTGTTTTTGTTTTTTTAAATGTGAAGTCCAACCTGAGAACTATAGACTTAATGGGCAAGGAAGTTTGAGAGGCTTATTGCATTATTGGTGGGAGCATCTGCAAGTTCTGTCTCCTATTTGTCATCTCCAGCATACTATTGGCACAAGAGTCAGGTCCCACTCATTAACCTGGGAAACAAAATTCAAGGAAACCATGTGTGTGGTTCACCTGAGGTTCCCCCCCACTGTGCTGTCAGTGCAGAGTGTCCAAGTGTAAAACTGTCTATGTGGCTGGATCAAACAGCATCAGGGGCAACAATCCCAGCAACTGGACTCAGTTATGTCTTTATGAAGGAGCTTCCCCTATTTCTTAGTTCTCCTTCTCTGCTTTCTTTGTTTGCTTTTAGGCACATTAAGGTGTCTTAGTGAGTGTGCTCCAGAGAAATAGAACCAATAGATTATCTATCTATCTGTCATCTATCTACCTACCTATCTATCTGTCTAAATAGCTATATATCTCTATTATCTTTATAATCTCTATTAGTGACAAAGCATAGTGAATCTTAGGTACCCTGTCATTTTCCATGGGCTCAAAATTACAACCAGCTATTCTGTAATAAATTGTCATATTTAGTGTGAAAGTGTTGAGGCCAGTGAGTTCTTGTTCTGGGAA